TTATTTTTGAGAACGCGCCAAAAATGATCATAAATCAGCCAAATGTCGCGCTCTCTGAAAAAAATCAAACCTTCCCAACCAGACCAACTGGCTACTTGAAACTTTCACAAGGCAAAAAAAATGCATTTGAGGACTGGAAGTATAAAATTCCAGCCAATATACTAAGAGCGTTATTTTTGGGAAGCTGCTAAAAATGATAATAAATCAGCCAAATGTCGCGCTCTCTAAAAAAAATCAAAACTTCCCAACTACTCCAACGGGCTGCTTGCAACTTTCACAAGGCAAAAACAAAAAAACAATGAATTCGGGTACTTCAAGTATAAAATTCTAGCAAATCTACTAAGAGAGTTATTTTTGAAAACCCGCCAAAAATGATCAGAAATCAGCCAAATGTCGCGATCTCTAAAAAAAATCAGAACTTCCCAACTACTCCAACGGGCTACTTGAAACTTTCACAAGGCAAAACCAATGCATTCGGGTACTTGAACTATAAAATTCCACAAAATATAGTCAGAGACTTAATTTTGAGAAGCGCCCAAAAAAACTGTAAATTACCTACATAAGACATTCTCTGAAAAAGGAATGGAAACTTCTTAACTAATCTACATTCCGCACATAGATAACGAAGGATCCTCCACTCCTATGACGCAGCTGATTAGAACCTCCAATCGGTTATCGATCGTTTCTCAATTTTATTATAATTTTGATCAAAAAAATGTGCATCAAGCTTAATTAAACTGAAAATATTTTTCAATTTTTTAAGTACAGGAAATTACTGTTTGAAATTGAACAATGGGACGAATTGGCCTGATGATCGCCAAGAAGGGAAGCTGAAACGTTGGCATTCCTCAGAAACATATCAATAATAGACGGACTTTTTCTGTGTGGCGCCTGTTCATTTTCCTGGTATTAAGAAGGGACGTCGAAGGTTATAATTACGAAGCTTGTTACTTTATCATGATTAATAATTATCGTCGCATTTTTTTCAAACAAACAGCAATTTCATTATCTCGACTGGTACCTTGATCAGGTGACGTCGGTTTTTATGAGCATTTCACTGGTAGGAACGATTTGCCAGTCAAAGTTCCTAGTGAAGTTTTACGAAAATTCGCTCCTAGAGGAGGAGGCGGAGGAATAAAATAATGGAAGAACCACGACGAAAAGTTACCTGAGAGTGCGTCGCAGGAAAATAGCCGGAAACAAGCAGCAGGGCGACTATTTGAAGCCACATAGTGCACCCTTTCAGAGTCAATCACTCGAGCGCCTGAGCTTTGCGTGCTCAGCAACGCGACAACCCGAAGAAAAAACGCGCGTCTTGGTACTGGGGGCACCGAAAAAACAACATAGCGACGCTTCCGAGCCGTATCAGTAGCCGGATCGAATGCATTTGTCTTATCTAAAAATACGAAAAGACGCACCACACGTGCTAGTCGGACAAGGGAACTGGTTCGCCACGATCCGGCTTCCGAGAGTTGAATATCCCAACTGCAGGAATTTTACAGTCAAACCTGCTCGGCCACCGACAATGCTAAAGCTCTCGTACAGTACCCGATTTTCTTTGGGCAGGCCCCTGGATGGAACCTGCAGTTTCTCCATTTCTTCACCGCGCCTGAAGCAGGGGAAGGAGAAGATCAGCAAGTGTTGACTTTATCACTTAGCAGCAACTAACAGAAGGACGAAATCTGATTCTTATTGCATCGGAGTTTACATCGAGTGTTTCTTAAATTTATGGCTGAAGGCGATGAGGATTCTTCATCAAGGCGAAGTAAACACAAACTAGAGGTGTGCTAAACGGTTATTTATCTGTAACGGTTCAGTTCCACCTTGGTAATAGGTTTCAAAATCATGTTACCACTAATCAGGAACTCTTTGTAGGCTCTTTTGCACGTCTTGTGCGTCACTAGAGGCAGCAGAAAAAGGTTACAGTTTATTACACTGTCGCGTTCTGCAGCTGAATTCCCAAACATTAGCTTTATTCGCGGTAGCAATTCAAGATCGGTTCAGAACCGAATTAGGGGGCTCGGTTCACGATCCTGCGTTCCGCGAACGCTTTTAGAACCATCTTTTAGGCCGAAAGTAGTACCAACAGGATTTTCGTTACTTTGTGTCTAACAGTAATTTCCTTAAACTGAAATGCAATGGAGTGAAAGTGAAAATACGGAATTGCTGTGTTTTTTATGATCATAGTTTATCTGCGAAAAGTGGTAGTTTTTGATTATTTTGCTAAACGGTTATTTTTCTGTAACGGGTTACAACGTTCCAGTTTCACCTTGGTAATAGGTTTCAAAATGAGGTTCCAAAAGGAACATGTTACTTTTTAAATTTTGCACTAAAAATGCAGAATGACGATGATAGTAGAGACAGTGATGATATATAATGGTTTCCTTTAGAGTAACTACTTAAAATGACTTCTTAGAAGTAACTAGTTTGAGAACAAAAAACTGATAATAAACTAGAGTGATTAAATAAAATATACAGTTTATATGCGAAAACGTTTAAAAATATCATTTTCATTTAAAAATTAATTAACATTGAAGAATAAAATTGTTTGCAGATGCTTTTTACTGATTCTAGTTCTTCGCGCGCTTATAATAGCACCCGCTTTAGAAAATAATCTCTCGCATTTCGTTTCACAATAACATTAAATAATCTACAATAACAACAAACATAAATGCGTGTTTGGCAAACCTAGACGAAGTACAAGAGTTTATGAGACAGTTCAAAAAAAAACCCTTAAGTCGGCAAACGAAAAATATTTCTTTTCGCTCTGAAATATTTTCTATTCACTGATCAATGAAAACTCAGATCATAAGTTCTAAAGTTTATTCATATTTATTAAAAATATAATATTAGTAACTTTTTGGCTGTTAGTGGTGTCATATATAGACACAAAAAGTATTACGTACTAGGAAAAACTATTTTTATTTTATTTGTTTCATGCTATTTAAATATTAGGAACAAGTATTTTTGAAATAACATTTAAATAGTATTTAAAAAATATTTTCTTTTGCTTTGAAATATTTTCTATTCATTGACCAATGAAAATTGAAATATTATGTTCTAAAGTTTGTTCCCACTTATTAAAATAATAGATTAGTAACTTTTTGCGTGTTTGTGGTGTTATATACAGACACAAAAAGTATTACGTACTAAGAAAAACTATTATTATTTTATTTGTTTCATGCTAATTAAATATTAGAAACAAATATTTTCTAAATAACATTTAACTAATATGTAAGAAATATTTCTTTTTGCTTTAAAATATTTACCGTTAATTGACCAATGAAAATTGAGATAATATGTTCTAAAGTTTGTTCACACTTATTAAAAGTAATATATTAATAACGTTTTGGG